AAGTGAAGGGTGTGCCCAAAAGAAAAAGACACAAAAATTGATTAGGCTAAAGCACGATAGCAGCAGAGGTTGGTTGCAGAGTGGGAGGAACATGTAATGCAGTAATGAAATAATTGTTATCTGGCCTCACCCACTCACTCTTTCTCCATCCAGTCTCCACATCAATTGAATGCAGGAAGGCACCCAGTAGTGGGGTTGAGATTCGATTTGCCTTTGCAAATCGCAAATGAAAGAGACATGTTAGAATTTGATTTTATTATATATAATATAACAAATATAATAACAATGCATGTTAAAGTCTTTTTATTATTATTATATATATATATATATATATATCAACAATGCATCAAACAACTTGACAAATGAAGCATACATGCCGACCATTTTAACTATTACAATTTTAACTGTTTGGCTATAATTTATAAATTCTACTAACCAGCTTACAATTGGACGGTAGGGAAAATCTACAAAAATGCAATCACAAAACGGAGGGAGGCTTTGTAAGAAAACAAAAAAAAACAAAAGAGAGATGTTCTGTTAGTTCTATTACCGACCGACTATTTTGGTCTAAACTTGTCAAATCACTTATTAGACGGTTAGTTAGTTAACCAACGTAATAACTAATTATACGCTTACGATTAACCAATTGATATAAACAATGTGGTTAACATAATAGTAAGCAAAAATTGATTAATGGTCAACTGGGATGGCGATTGAACCTGAACCCATGGTACCCAACCCGGTCAAAGGGGGTAAAACCCAGTGTTGACGATATTTGGGTCGAGTGGGATTTTATCCGCTTTTGAAATTGTCGAGTTGGGTTCGGTTTGACTTTTGTCAAAATCCAATCCACTTTCCACCCCACCGGCACCCATAAAGCAAAACTACGACATTTTGGAGATTTTTCCAGAAATAACACTGTTTAAAAAAAAATCAAAAATAGCACCCAAACTCGAAAAATTCCAAAAATATAACCATTTCCCAAAAATCGCGACCCGAACCAGCGGTTTAGGTGAAAATCGCAACCCGGAGGCGCGTTTTTCAATGAAAACCACACTAGTAGGGTGCGGTTTTGCAAATCGCATGGGGCCTGGGCGGTTTGATTGCAAACCGCACCCCACCATGCGTTTGTAATATTTTTTTGTTCTTTGAAACAAATGTCACAAGTGGTCTTGGCACAACTGGTTTATTTGTTTATGTGTGCAAGAAATCATGGGTCCGAATCCCCACCATCCCATTTGATTTTTATTTTATTTTTTAGAGATTAAAAAAAACATGTTGTGGGAGTGGTGGTTCGAACCCAAATTATAAATAGTTTACTAAATTAACACAACATCTAAACCATTCAACTAGAACTCTTCTCTTGAAAGAATAATATATTGACAAAGTTTTACTCCTTGAAAGCTAAAAATCCTCAATAACTTTAAATAACTTTATGCTCTAAAATCCGAACGTCATGATTTTTTTTTCATTTCGCATAAATTTTTAAGAACTACAATTTTTACTAGGAATGATTTTTCAAAACATGAATTATTTTTGGATATACAGGATTTTGGGAATAGTTTACCTTCCCTTTTCAGCAATCCACGTACATTTTGAAATTATGTCTATGGTAAAAGTTGTATTTCTTAAAAATTCATGTGCAATAAAAAAAATTCATGTCGTTTGGATTTTGGAGCACAAAGTTATGGTTGTCCAAAGTCTGACGAAATCGAAAAAAGCTCGTTCGAGGTAGCAAACGACATTTTTTCGGGACGAAGGTGGGACCATAGCACCTTCGGCCGTCCTCAGGCTGACAAGATCTCGAAAATTTATGCGGAATAAAAACAATCGCGACGATCGGATACCCGAACACAAAGATACGTTCGTTTTAAGTTTCCACTTAAGTTAGGATTTTTCAAAAAAAAAAAGACCAAAACCTCATGGTTGGTGTGCGGTTTGCAACCAAACCGCGTGGTGGGGGTGCGGTTTGCAACGAAACCGCCACGGCCCCCTTGCGGTTTGCAAAACCGCCCCCTACTAGTGCGATTTTCATCGAAAAACACGCCACGGGTGGTAGTTTTCGCCTAAACCGCTCGTTCGGGTTGCGGTTTTTGGGAAAGGGTGCTATTTTTGGAATTTTTCGGAGGTGGGTGCTATTTTTTAAAAAATATTAAACAATGCTATTTCTGAAAAAATCCCGACATTTTGTATCTTATTAGAACAATATGAATAATTTATGGATGTTAGCAGTCTTATTGAGATATATTTGTAGGAAAATTTTCGATGACATTACGAAATAGGTGTTCGTAGAAATAATGTATGGTTTATATTCTTAAACCCATGGGTACCCACTCATACATCCGTGAGTACCCATTAAACTGAGTTTTCTCTTTTAAAACCCATTGGGTAATTTACGAGAATTTTTTATGGGTGTATCATTGGGTTAATTTTGGATTAGAGGCGCGATCCAACCCGACCCATTATCACCACTAAAATCAATTAATAATCGTATAAACGATTTCGATTATAACTAAACCAAACCGACTAACTAGAAATCTCACGGTATTCAACACAATCCTCTTGAAAAAGAGGTACAAGAAAATGAGGTGGGCTCTCAGCCCAAACCTCTTCACCATCCCATTCACACTCTACATGGGCCATAAGATGAGCTGGCTTGTTCTTCTCTCAGGCCACATAATTCCATTCCACTCTACCCAACGCGCGGGCCTTGTCCTTAATCTCCCCACAAATGAGCCAAACTTCTGTCTCCCTATCCTCTTCTCTTCGCAATTGCTGAATCACTCCCAAGCAATCCGAAACAATTGCCATTTCCCTAACACCCAACCTTCTTGCCAGCTCTAAGCCAAAATCAATTGTCATGGCTTCCGCTTCCTCTGGGTTCCATTGGACCCTCGACCTCCTCACCGCCGCGAACCTAAAGCCCCCTTCTCCCTCTTGAACCACCGCTCCCCATCCCGTTCCTCGACTAGCCATACATGCAGCATCGACCGAGATCTTCACAGGGGCCGTTATCGGTGGCTGCCACCGCCGATTCTCAGATGGTTCGACCGGTTGATGCTACTCTTGCTTCTCCAGGTAATCTTGTAGCCATTCATTTGCTCGCGGCATAATTTCCCATTCCTCTAACTTCGTTTTGTTTCACAGCTGGCAATTTTGCTGATCCCATATAAACCAGAGAGCAACTAAGAATTCGCCCAGCTTCTCGTCAGATTCAGTCTCCTGGAGCTCGCAGAACCACTCTTCTGAGGTAAGGGCTTCCCCTCTTTCTGCATAGGAGTTCATAGGGCTATATCTCCAGACTCGTCGAACCCAATCACATTGATGGAAAATGTGTTCTTGCGTCTCCCTTATATCGCAAAAGGGGCACCCTTCACTACCCTTTTGCATTCGAACAAAAATGCGTGCTCCTGTAGGGATTATATTCTTCAGCCATCTCCAAGCAAAGATTTTTACCTTTGGGGGGATTCGCAGGTTCCAAAGCCTCTTCCAGTTTACAGGGGTGTAGAGTTCTCCTTCTTCTTCAATGTTTCTATCTTCCCATAGTCCGACTTTACAGTATATCTCCTTGACTTTTCCTTGTCCCAGATCAATTTATCTTCCATAGGTTGCCGCGAGATGAGAATTTTCTGAGTTGACTGCCACGTCAGAAAAATTTAACGGAGACTAACTAAATTTGAACTGTTGAACTAATTTTAGTGACCATGAATGAAATAAATTAATTTAGTAACAAACGTGAAACGTTTTCGTAATTCCTGTGACCAAACTTGCAATTCTCCCTCTGAATCGCTATTCGTCCCCGTAAAATTGAAAAAAAAATTGCCCTAAACCACACTAAATTGACACATGTACCCCTAACTTTAAACCTAAACTTAACCCTAGCAAATATTCTGTCCCCAACCCTAAACCCGACTCTCAAAATCTCGCAAAAAAGTTGCCGTCCACCCCAGAACTACTCTCCGCTGCCGCTGCCACCGCCACCAGGGTCGCTCCCCGTCACCGCTGATATTCGTCGTTGCTGTTAACTAGAGGAGTTCGTCTAGGGTTAGGTTGACATCGTCCAGAAGCTTGCCGCCATGGATCAAGTGGTAGTCTGTTCGTCGGGCGGGTCTGCGATTCAAATTATTGCTCCACGGGATTGGATTGCAGATTTGAGGACAGTGATGGTGTCCTACGACGTGGAGGATGAAGTTAGGGTTTGATGCAATTGTAGGTTTACGCATATTTGCATCTCTTCATGTCTTTTTTGATATTTCGAGCGGCGGCTAGAGTGATGGAATGAAAGATGTGTGGTGGCAGTGGCCGGGAAACTTTAAAGCATCTCCATGGAGAAATTGATCTTTACGGCTAAAAAAGTTAATGTAATTCTACTAAAAAAAATTTAACGTAGAGAATATTTTATATACACAAATTAATTATTTTAAGAGATATTAAAAATAAGCTAAGAGCACTAGAATAAAATTAACATAATTAGGACGACGAATAAGGAGTTTAGAATAATAAATAGCAATCCCCTAATATTCATGTGTCATCCAATAAGTCTACCGATTATCGTCCCTACATCCAATTTCGCCGCATTCATTTCCCTGAGTAGGATTGGAACTTGAATGGAGTTCCCGGTGATCTCCACATGAGGCTAACCAGAATGGTTAGAGTATCATCACCATCCATCCCATGTAAATTGTGTCATTAGAGAGATGTAGGGTTGAGATTGGAAGTTGGAACTACCCAAGTTACCGATTTCAAAGCACTTTGCACTCAACCTGTGTTGTACATAGACTCTGCTCTTTTGGTCTCTGCTGGCCGCAATATTGCTCACTCTACAACGACGAGACTAAATGCTTGGAAGTACTCTAGCCAGGAAGGAAGCAACAAACAACCAGATGCCTTCCTCCTGGACGACTACTGGTTTTTATTAAAAGCCACTGCACCAAATTACAAGCCTTTGATGTGGGCTGAAGAGTTAACTGGTTACCAAGATTGCTTTATCCTCCCAGCAGCTAACATTCTTGCACATCTGAAAAGAGAAGCTTACAATCAAAAGGAGGCATGTCTTGGTTTTAGTTTATTTCTCAAAAGTAACGTAATTAAAGCTCCAGAAAAACACACTTATTCCATGTTAATCATTTCCCTAAACTCACACTTTTGGTATTATTACTATATAAACTATCTACAATCTCATAATTACTTCGATACTACAAAAAGTATCTCAACATTCCTTCAATTCAACTTTTCTAATTCTCATCAAACACACTTTTAATCACTTCTCCTCCAACTTAAGAAAAAGTTTCTAGCAAAAGTTATGGTACAAGAAGCTCACTAGGAGAATTTAGACACACCTTTGGCACCAAGATCAGCAGCGAGATTGGAGTGCTTTGCTGGGTTCTCAACTGAGATGCACCGCATTGATTGAGGAGAGGAGCAAGCATCACCTGAGCTCCAGTGTTCATTTGAGACTTGATCGCCCATCCGATTGTTTAAGTAGTAAATGTCTAAATTAGCAGCCGTCACACAGGGCATGCCTACTTTTCTCTTGTGCTTGAACCTTCAACATCTAACAGGTGCGTGAGGGACAGGCGATAACAAAACCACAAATATAGTTTCTAGCAGTATTTATTTTCGGTGTAACAGAAAGAACAAATTAGCAATTTTGAGCTACCTGTCTTTCCGCTTCTCCAGATATCTCTGCACCGATGCTTTTCTACTCGCAGGGCCTTCTACAAGGATTTTCCAACAAAAAGAAAATGGATTAGAGGAAATCTAGAAATTCATACAAGTTATTAGCGGTGGCATGAAACAACAATCAGACTTCCCCCAAGCCACTCATCAAGCCAGTGTCATCCCTATGTTTTCCAGTTGCTACTTTTGGTTACTTAGAAACATCTCATCACATCAAGCTGGCCAAAGGTGTTCATGAAGATTGCATAAAAATCACTTAAGCGAACATAGCGATCTAGTCAGATATCATAAGCATCCCATACGCCAAAATCATATACCCAACACACTCAAATTTGACATTATACAAGGATGAACGTACGCCTGAAAAATGGCAACAGTTTATTGGCAGGAGATAGAGGGAGAAAAGGAGACAAGAGGAACATGGAAAATAAACACACATGACACAACTAGATGCCAGCTTCTCATTCTTCTTCAGTGCAATGAACTGCCTGTATATTCGCAAGTAACAATACTTGCCTGCTATCAATCATCTCAGGTAACTTACAGAAGCGGAGAAAGACAAAGGCAGATGTATGGTATTATACGCAAGGATACACTTTTATGAAAGAGAAAAGAATGCATAGCTAGCTGCCCTATGCATTTACCTTGGTTGACTTCAGGAGTTAACTGGTAGTTGTCTCTTTGCAGCTGACAGTTTTCTACCAGTTTCACTGTATTGACCAAAAACAAAACCAGTAAGAACATAAAGTACAAAAGTACCCACACTGAAGAATATCAAAAAGGATTTCAGGAACTAGTTATACACTTTCAAGCTTCATGCAAGACTTGCAGAATACCCTTTTTATCCTATACAACAATATTCCACCCAAAAACATTTGCTTACCTAACACTATACTGCACTTGTTGAATATTTGAACCTTGATGTTATACATTGGAAACCAAGAATGGAAATCAATTCTTGGAGCAACGAAGTTACGAGTATATGGATCAAATGTGGTTTCTTAGTGGAAACGCTACCAGTTTGCATGGAAGGGAAGCCCAATGCTGATGAAATTGAAGCTGCTTTGGGACCTTGAGTTTCTGATTGGCCAGGAAATGCCCATACTGGTTGACTGCCATCAGGTGAACTATCCTGAGTCAAGGGGAGTGGACTTGCAGCGAGCCGCAGGATAACTCGAGCCTGCAACATCATCCGGTTGAACACAGTTACCATACTGAAATGATATAATTCTGTATCAAGACCGTTGTTTTTTTTCTTCAGGGTATGGGCTGCATGAAAGGACCTTATCCATTACCTTATCTCTTGGCATACCATCGTAGACGTTTACCTTCCCACAGTAAAATATGGTCATCTGCCCTGCTTGCTCGGTAGCTGCTGCACCTGTACTTCTGAAATGTCAAGATACTCTCTTCAGCAGCTTGAAAATCAAGCCTCCCAAAATGGGGAATCAATATTCATAGCATTCTATCACAGGGGTACCATGTCCCCATAATCCCTACGGTACTGTCAGGAACAAAAAATGAGAGGGTCGCCTCAGAAGTGTAACACGACTACACAATGTGGACACACACACAGTAAAAATATAGCACATTTCGTACAGTTAATATTTTGCATCAAGTGACAACCTGGGGGAGACAGAATCATTATCTGCGGCGGCGTGACGGACGGCCGGAGCTGATGGAGGAGGAAGAGGATTGTTGCCCGTGATGTCATTAAGCGGAGGATCATGCCGGCGATAGGGAGCAGATTCTTCGGCAGGGACAGAGATCGGAGAATCGGCGGCGGTTACTCTCACTGAAACAGAGGGATTTGCAGGGGCCTAGACGTGACGAAGACCACCCAACAATTCACAACCTTCGAATTATTTAATTTAATCAAATAAAAAACAAGGGGGAAAAAGGTAAAAATAAAAAAAAATATATATGAGCAAAGTAATCATCATTATTGGCGAGAAAGGGGAACTAGTTACTGGTCTGAAGCAAAAGGGTAAAGAAACGCACACGATGGGCGTTATCGGGACGCGGAATGTAGCGCCTGCGCGGAGGAGGTTGGCCGTCGTCGGACTCCGGCGGAGCTTCAAGTAGGGTTTTCAGTGAGATCACTTGCTGGATTGCCTGCGATTTGTTCCACGACGGCCTTCTCATCCCTATAAACGGTAACATTCAACCACAATTAGAAGAATCAGTTCCAGAGCGCAGCTGAGTCCCCGAGAAACTCCGACGAAGGGAAAGAGTAAGAGAGAGATAGAGAGCAGTGCCTTTCTCTTTGAGGAATCTGCGGCAATCTTCGCGAGTGAGCTGAGAAATGTCATCTTCAGTGAGCTGGTGGAGCGGCTTCTCAAGCGGCGATCGAGCAGCGGTTTCGTCGGCGGCAGACTGCATGACGCCTTGGCAGAGAGATCCCGGCGAGGTTAGTCTGGTAATAGCGGAGCTGCTTTTGGGGGAGTGTGTCCGTGAAAAAGGAGTAAGAGAAGGGGGTGAAAGAAACAACAAAGTAAAGCAGCAGAGGGTGAGGGGAAGCCGTAAAGAAAATCCAATCTGTGTACGTGGGTATGATCCAGTGTGTCGCGGAGTCTCAGTTTCTGGGGCTGTTGGATGAGAGAAAGGCGGTGGTCGGTTTTGGATCGTTGATTGGCTGACTGATGCAGTTCAAATCGACGGCAAGTGGGAGGCGACATTGTGCTTGGGCGTGGGGCAGCAACCTGCTGCAACCCCAGAGCGACACGTAATTGCTTAAATGCGTTACCCCACTTTCCGTTCGCTGTTCGCCGTTTCCATCCATCAGGCATCACCGACCGTCTAAAATTATTTTGGCACAAAGCGACGAAGTTTAAATGGCAACATCAACTGTACTGTACGTAGATTCTTACAAGGATTATGACAGTTTTGGTACCTCTATTTCCGCTTATTTTACAAAAAGTGCCTCGACTGTAATACTCGCCAAAAATACCACTCATCCGAATTTTTGAAAAAATATACGTAATAAAACAATTTCCTATATAACAGATTTGCGCAATTATTTTTTTCATTCTCCTTTTTATGGATTTCAGGACTAATAGCAGGTTTGAAACTGAATGGCTAAACCTCGTCCTAACTTTACTATTATCGCCCTAGCTTAAAATATAAAATTACTCAATTAACCTTTAATTAAGTAAATAACAATGACAAAACAAACAACCCAAAATCCATTTCTCTATAATCCGCCTCCATCTTCTTCCAACGAGAGTGCCCTTCAAGCCACCTCCGTCGCCGAAAATCTGCAGTTAATAAGTCCCGCCGCCGACTGAGAGGGCTCCAAGCGACCCTCCTCTGTCCTACCGTCGGACTCAGGGGCGGAGCCAGGATTTGACCGTCGGGGGGGCCGAAGTTTAGAAAGTGTAATATGTAGAAGAAAATATATCATAAAATATAATTAATATTAATATTTATTTATTATTTATTTGTAATATTTGAGATAATGAAAATGCCAAAACTATTATTAGAAATATAAATTTAAAATTTGAAGAACATAATTAAGCTACTTCAAAATTACATGACTTGTAAAACAAATTATGAAAGTTAAATATGCTTCATGGTAAAACTAAATTAACAAGGTTAAAAAAATTAATATGGTCCTTGTCACGCTCAATTAAGAAGGTTAAAGACAATTAAATATGATTTTTTTATCACAGTTAGTTAAGAAGGTTAAAAAATCAATAAAAATTTGCTGCCATGAGGTTTCGAACCAAGACCATGAATGACAACAATCGACTTCTACTCCACTTGACTACACACAAATCATATGCTTCATTATTGCACACAGTTTGTATTTATACTAATCTTCATTTTATACGTAATTCTTCAAAACTCGATAGAATTTTGTACGTGATTTCAAAAATCTCGGGGAGGCCGGGGCCCACCCGAAGTACCACCTAGCTCCGCCCCTGGTCGGACTCCTCTGTCCTGACCGACGTCTTCCCTCCAGTCCTGCCGGCTTCGTTCCAGATGACTGTTCGCCTCCTCCACCAGCCGTTCTCTGTCCTGATGACCGGCGTCTACGCGTCGTCACTCCTCCCCAGGCGGCTTTTGTTTGGGATCGCTATATATATAATGTATGTGATAAAAATAGAGAGAGGGTTATATGTCCTGATAATTAACGGGTATAGTTAGCGCTAAGCCCTTCCTTCCATTTGCCACAATTAACACCAAATCTGTTAAGAAATATGGGGAGAACCTTGGTTTGATATTCAGCGTACTGAGCTGATCTCCAATGATCAATATGATGATGGGTTTGTATGTTTTCTATTTTGGAATATGGGTAGGTAGGTGATGGGTGGAGATCTCACTGAAGAGTGACTTCATCGGTAGCTGCACTAACCATAGGGCGCTACGGAAGAACGAGAGTAACGGGAGTGGCGGTGGGCGATCAGGGTCGGCGGTGGTTGAAATCAAAACTATAGTAGCAATTTGTACGGGGTTTTGTTTATTAGATAAATATTTTTGACAATAAAAAACGAGAAGGATAAATGGGTAATAGCAATTTGTACATTAGGGCGATTATCGTTAAGTTAGGGCGACAATTAGCAACTCCCATTTGAAAAGGTTCAACTCACTTTTGTCGGGTCAAAATAGGTTGAATATTCTCAACAAAAAAATAGTAGAAATTAACATACACTAATGCGGATAAAACTCGCTCACGATTCAAAATTAGGCAACATCATGTTCAACTCTCTTTGATCAGTTTGAACCGAGTTTGTAACAAATGTACAACCGACCCAACCCGCCAATTACAAAAGCAAATAAAACTCACTCCCGTCCGAAAACTTGTAAACACAGGGTTCAAATCGTTTTGATCATGTTGAATTAGCTAGGTTGGATATCCATAGGTTTGGGTTCTCAACCAAAAGGAAAAGGATAAATAAAAAAGCATTAAAGAGGATAAACTCGCTTCCTACCAAAAATCCTACACACCATGTTGGACTTGCATTGACTGGTTCGAACCGAATTTTTAACAATTCACACTCGGCTCAACATGTCAATTCTAAAATCAGTTAAAACTAGCTCTCTATGAAAACTCGTCAGCACCTGGTCCGGTTTCAATTCATTCTCAAGCAAACGGAAAAGGAGAAATAAAAAAAATACTAAAACAGATAAAGCTCGTCAACATCGTGTTAAGCTCACTTTGACCAGGTCGAATCGAGTTTTTAACAAATTCACACTCGACCCAACCTACCAACTGCTAAAGCATATAAAACTTGTTCTTGATACAAAACTCGTCAATACCATGGGTTTGGGTTCAATTATCATTCTCAAGGAAAGAAAAAATAGAAATTTAAATATACTAAAATCGGGTTCAAAGTCGCTTTGAACCTGGACGAATTATGTTGGATACCCATGAGTTTGAGTTCAATTGTCATGATTAACCAAAAGAAAAAAGAGAGATAAGAAAATACTAAAGAATATTTAACTCAGTCTCGATACAAAATTCGACAACACAAAGCAGATTTCGTATGGATTTTCGACAGCAGTCTTAGGACACGGTGGATGAGGATAAACTCGCTTCCTACCAAAAACCCTACACACCATGTTGGACTTGCATTGACTGGTTCGAACCGAATTTTTAACAATTCACACTCGGTTCAACATGTCAATTCTAAAATCAGTTAAAACTCGCTCTCTATGAAAACTCGTCAGCACCTGGTCCGGTTTCAATTCATTCTCAAGCAAACGGAAAAGGAGAAATAAAAAAATATACTAAAACAGATAAAGCTCGTCAACATCGTGTTAAGCTCACTTTGACCAGGTCGAATAGAGTTTTTAACAAATTCACACTCGACCCAACCTACCAACTGCAAAAGCATATAAAACTTGCTCTTGATACAAAACTCGTCAATACCATGGGTTTGGGTTCAATTATCATTCTCAAGGAAAGAAAAAATAGAAATTTAAATATACTAAAATCGGGTTCAAAGTCGCTTTGAACCTGGACGAATTATGTTGGATACCCATGAGTTTGAGTTCAATTGTCATGCTTAACCAAAAGAAAAAAGAGAGATAAGAAAATACTAAAGAATATTTAACTCAGTCTCGATACAAAATTCGACAACACAAAGCAGATTTCGTATGGCTTTTCGATAGCAGTCTTAGGACACGGTGGATGGGTACTACTTAGGATTCCACCAAAAGTGTTTGGAGAAGGATTGTGCATTTTTGGGCGAATGAGAGGATTGTGTATAATAGATAAGGTAAGTCGGTGGCTGTCGTGGCAAACGGTGGACGAGGACAACTTATGATTTCGTCGACAGTGTTTCGAGATGGGTAATTGTTGCAATAGGGAAAGCAATGAAGAATAGATGAAAACTTAGTAGACAATGAATAACTATTATTGGAAACCTAATGGGCAATAGATGTAGACCCAACGAACAATAGATAAACAAATAGATTATAAAATAAGAGGGTAGATTTGGTATGGATTTTTTATAGCAGTCTTAGGAAATGGTGGATGGGTATAACTTAGGATTCCACCGAAGGTGTTTGGAGAAGAGTTGTGCATTATTGGGCGAATGCAAGGATTTTGTATAATGGATAAGGTATGGATCTTCGGTGGCAGTCGCGACAAATGGTGGAAGACGATAACTTATGATTTCGTCGATAGTTTTCAAGATGGGTAAATGTTGCAGCAAAGAAAGCAGTGACCAATAGATGAAAACGTAGTAGATAATGAATAACTATTATGGAAAACCTAATGGAAAATAGATGTAGACCCAAAAGACAATAGATGAACAAATAGATTATAGAATAAGAGAGGGCGCAGACTTGTTATAGATTTTTTATAGCAGTCTTAGGACATGGTGGATGGGTACAACTTAGGATTTCACCGAAAGTGTTTGGAGAAGGGTTGTCCATTATTCGGCGAATGCAATGATTGTGAATAATAGATAAGGTATGGATCTTTGGTGGTAGTCGTGGCAAACGGTGGAAGAGGACAACTTATGATTTCGTTGATAGTGTTTCGAGATGGGTAATTATTGCAATAGGGAAATCAATAAACAATAGATGAAAACTTAGTAGACAATGAATAACTATTATAGGAAACCTTATGGGCAATAGATGTAGACCCAACAGACAATAGATGAACAAATAGGTTATATAATAAGAGGGGGGAGCAGATTTGGTATGGATTTTCGATAGCGGTCTTGGAACATGGTGGAGAGTACAACTTAGGATCCCACCTACAGTGTTTGGAGAAGGGTTGTGCATTATTGGAGAATTCAAGGATTGTGTATAATAGATAAGGTATGGATATTCGGTGGCAGCCACAACAAACGGTGGAAGAGGACAATTTATGATTTCGCCGATATTGTTTCGAGATGCGTAATTGTTGTAAAAGGGAAAACAATGAA